TGTGTATTGGGTTGTAGGAAAAGTCATGATGTATTTTTTCTGGTTTAAGTTGCAAAAATGCGTCATGACTTTTCCGAAACCATATATATATATATATATATATATATATATATATACATATATGTATGTATATATGTATATATATCTTATAATCATGTATACGTATACATATATGTGATCAAAAATATGGTGAATGTTTAACTTTTAAAATTATTACAGTAAAAGACACATTGCCATTAATCCCTCTCAAAACACTCCCCCTTTCTTCGAACACACTTACCCCATCATTCTTGCCACTTTCTGAAGCAGTTCTGGAAGTCCTCTTTTGTGAGTGTCTTTAACTGTGCTGTTGAGGCTGCCTCAATGTCCTGAATTAATTCAAAACATCTACTTTTCATGGTCATTTTGACTTTGGGGAAGAGCCCAAGTAACACGGTGCCAGATCCATCTGATGAATAAGGTGGATGAGAACACACTGTGATGTTTTTATTTGACAGAAACTGCCATGCCAGAAGTGATGTGTGACATGGGGCCTTTCCATTGTGATAAAAAACTACTGTGAATGCTGCTATCGAGTGCCATCCAACAGAAAGGCAGGAATCTTCAATACGGAAGCGGTGTGTCAAACCTTAGTAACAGTGTGTGACAAGTTTCAACTTGTTCAGAGCAGTCAGTCGGGTGTGAGCTATGGTTGAGAGAAGGTATGTTTTAAAGTGTGCCGTTAATTATCCTCCATCATGACAATGCTCCGTGTCACACATCACTTCTGGTATATGGCAATTTCTGTCCAATAAAAACATTACTGTGTATCCCCATCCACCTTATTCACCGGATCTGGCACTGTGCAACTTCTGGCTCTTCCCCAAAGTCAAAATGATTCAGGATATCGAGGCAGCCACAACAGCACAACTAAAGACACTCAACGAAAGAGGGCTTCCAGAACTGCTTCAGAAAGTGGCAAGAACAATGGGATAATTGTGTTCAAAGTGAGGAGGAGTATTTTGAGGGGGATTAATGGCAATGTGTCATTTACTGTAATATTTCTTTTTTATTTAAACATTAACCTTACTGTTTGATGACACCTCGTATACACTACATATCATACACTGACAACTCTGCATCCTGCCCTGATGTCTCAAGCATAGATATCTTTTGAGGATTCAAGTGTAATCTTCTAATAGAAATGAAAGAAAGAAAGGTGCCAAACCATGTTTGACATGACCCTTTTTGTGTAAATTAACTTTACAAACAGAGAGAGGGACGGCCGAGTGGTGCATTGGTTAATAGTTGACTTGGGATGCCAGCTCTGAGCAGCAGGGCTGCCGGTTTGGATCCCACATGCAGGCCAGTGACACTGCGCCCTCTACAGCTAAGATGGTGAACAACAGCTCGACCTGGAGCTGGGCTGCCTGAGTTGCCGGTGAAGGCGTAGGCTGCAGTGAAGCTGCAGTGGGCTGCCGTGAGCTACCGTGAGTGGCTGGCAGCTGGCGTGAGGGGCCAGCAGTCAGCATGTGCTGCCAAGAGCCACCGTGAGCAGCTGTCCAGTCGCCGGCGACTGATCTGCCTCAGCCGGGAAGAGTGCAATGATCATAATGCCAACATGGGCCAGTGAAGCAACATCCTCCACAACTAGACTGAAGAAAAAAAGGATAGCAACTTGTCTGTTCCCCATCCCCGATTCCCCAGCGCTGTTCCCCTCCCCTAATTCCCCAATTAAAAAAATCTTTAAAAAACAAACAAACAGAGAGCGATTATTTAAATGTTGGTATTACACATAAAAGTTTTGTCTGTAAGAAAACACAAGGAGAAACCGTTATTATTAGTTATCTTTAGCACTGATGTTGGGACACTGTAAAAAAAAGGTTCACTCCTCCTTTTGAACTTTACTGTTTTATTTGAATTTTCTAGCCATGAACCTGTATTACCCTTCTTTAAATATGTCAATCAGGGCTACTTGAATGGTGGGATAATGGGCCATTTTTTATTTTCTTTATATACTTCTCTGTATTTAAAAAATCTAATAAATGTTATTGAAACAAGAAAAAGATATGTCACTTTTGTAAACAAAGAATAGTACATTCATTTGTTATTCCCCTGGATAGTCAGAAATCTCAAAGCTTGTTTGTAGGTGACAATCAGCAGTATGCAAGTCCCACAGTTGATCCCCCAAGTTCTTCTACACACACTGTGACAACTACCTCAAGTTGCATAATACCTACTTCCTTTCCTCTTAAAAGAAGACATGGGAGTGACTTAAGCCTCTCTTAGAGTCCATCAAGACAGATACCACATTTTATTCTTTGTCACATCCTTAGTATCAAGTATAGCACCTGGCATATAGCAATCTATTAATAAATTACTGTTCAATATATGGCGAATGGATATTAACTACTTACAAGATAAGTCAATTTTTAACTTGTCTTTCAGGGCATCACTTCCGGAACGTATCAACTTCCTGACCGTAGAAGCATGTTCCTAAAAAGGAGGTAAATTGACAAATCAGAAGGATGAATTGTCTACTTAGAAGCTAATAGAATATATACATGTCAGAAGCAGTCCTCCTTAAATAAAACCTTAAGCCTTCCAAACGTTAGGAACAGTGCCATGTACCATGAGATACCATGCCTTGTGCAAGTCAAGTTAGGATAAGGCTGACTTCACTAATCTCATTGTTGTCTTTTAGTAGCTACAGTTAATGTTTTCTCCAGGCTCTATATTCCTCCCTCACACTGCTGTCCTTCAGTTGTAGTTGCTAAAGAAATGCTTAGCTGCAGTTTGCTGAGTATTAATTAACCCTAATTGGGGAAATAGCTTTCTGAAGTCCATCCTTAATATAGCTTTCATAGACTAAATAATACTTGAATACAGGTCTCAGTGGAGGAAGAGAACCTAACACAATATTGAGATGAGCTTCAACAGCCTTGCATGGTGATGAATTTGCGGGACACAGTGCTGGTCCCTCTCACTGCCCCTTCTGAGGTGACAGAAAGGATTTTAGAAGAGACTTATCTTGACTGTCCAGTGAACAGGCTGTTAGCATCTGTGATAAGTGACTGAATCCATCATTATCACAGCTATTTGTCAAGAAATCAACCCACATGATAGGTGGTATGTACAAGACAAAAGAGATGCTGCTCAAATAGTACACACTAGGATAAGGCTGCTTAATAGAATATGATTCCTGGAAAACAAATGTTCTCAGTGTTTATAGCCTACCTTAAATAGAAATGCTACAGAATCCAAGCAGATCTAACACTTATGAACTGAAGACATTTGCTCTGAGATACAAGGGTTTCTTACCGGAGGCAGACGCACTATAAACTGGCTCTCAAGTTCGGTAGGAGGTTCACGCTGGCTTTTACTCATCTCTTGTTTTTGAGTTCATGAAAACAAAAACAAAACCAACAGAAAGTCACCAACACTCCTCTTGCTCCCTCTGCTGACCCCTTCTGGTAGTACTGGTTAAATTATACAAGATCTTGTCCGTAACTCACTGGAATGGTGTGTGTGTACACTTCTGAAATACCTTATTTGACATAACTTTTTTATTTCTAAAAATCACTCTATCTCTCCTCCAAAATATGCATATTTTCAAAAATTAATCCAAATAACATGATAACAAATGAAGTCAGAACTGTTATGAAACATGATTTATTAGTCTTTTTAGTGAAATTCTTAGACTCTCAGGTAAAGGACTACAATTCTCCAACACATTGGGGGCTACAGAAGCAAACTACATACCTCTGCAGGGAAGAGTGCCAACCAAAGGCCTAAATCAACCCCAAAACCACTGGTAGAAATGTTCTATGATGATTAGAAGGAAACAAGAACTTAATTTTCAATATTTCATTCGCCTTAATAGATTGGTAGGAATTGAACAACAAGCCCATGTGAGAGCAGACAGCTTTTTATGACTCTACAGCCAGTATAGAGAGCTCTGAGCTACCTTGGGAAAAGTCCAGTTCTTATGGCTAAGGTATCTACATGAGTACACCTAACTTCATGAGACAGATACATTCCTGAAGGGTGATAGGAAAGAACACAAAATCCAATTTGATTTATTTATTACTAACACTGTATGCATTCTATGTGCAGCTACTACATTGAGTGTATTAGGTCTATTATTTTGTTCAATCCTCACAACCACCACTTATTTGAAATATCCCTAAAATCTTATTAAGAGAATCCTAAGATGGATCCATATACTAGTGGTGCCAAAAAAAATGTATATAAGTGGACACTTTGGTCAATGTTGCTCAAGCAGTACTTTGCTCTCATTGGAAGTGTCTGGACGCTGATGGTAACCGCTTTGAGCACCTCTTGTAATTGCAGAAGTCAAACGTGACTTGTATTCATCTTTTGTTATCCGTATATATTGAGTATTATAATTTTAATACAGTTTTCCTTTCTTAAAATGTGTATACATTTTTTCGCACCCTCTGTATATATAAAATACCACAGTAAAGTGAATAATCTCCAAATTAATCTTTATTTTCACCTTATTTTCCATCTATTTGGGATATATCTGAAGTGGCTTGCATTTTGGGTTTTAGGGCCCACACTTCTAAGGATTTTTATTTTTAGTTCTCAACAGGGGAAAGAAAGCAATGTATATGTAACCTGACAAAGTTTTCTTATGTTCTAAGAACATTATATTATACACCAAGTTATATAATCTTATATCTTAAATTTATGTACAGCTCCTAATATTCTGTAAACCATTAACTGGGCTCTGAGTTTTGAATTTGGATATCACTGAAGCCTTTTATAAAAAACACATACAAGTAAGTCTGAGACCCGATTATGGTGAAATCACTCACCAGTTATGATTTCAGTCCTTTAGTATGACTTCAGAAACTACCAGAAAGATACAGAAAGCACAAGAGAGGACAGCACTGGAAAATCAGACACCCAGGATGAGAGCGAGTGAAAAAGAGACAAAGGGAGAGATTACTTCGGATAATGATTTCTTTCTTCCTCCTTCAGACCGTTATACACCCCCCCACACACACACACACACACTATGCAAACATATAGAGAAAAGTTAATTAAAATAAAGCAAATCAAACTTAAAATCCTGGGGCTGGGAACATTGCATAGCAGAACAAAGAGTAACAAATACTTAAGGTTGGAAGCAGAAACATAGTTATTTGTAGAACTAGCAGCTGAGCAAGATTTTATCAGATCAGTTGTAACTTTTAGATTTCTCAGCAGAACTAAGACTAGGGCATTTTGTTCATTTCAATGCCTTTCTGGCAACTCCTCTCTTATGAAAGAAACAAAGAATGTAACTTTGGTAACTATTTCAGAGAAGGGGTACAACCCTTGTTAAAATTAGTTTTTTTGTGGTTTTTTTTTACCTGCTAATTTACCCAACGAACTGGTTGGTCGTTTTGTACTTAAGAAAAGGCAACCACTTTTTTTCCAGCAAGCACTCTTTGATTAATTAAATGAACGGGACCACTCTCCACCATTCACATCCCCTCGGCTCCATCTCGCATCGGTGGAATTAGATTTGGAATTAGAATTATAGCTAGCTGACAGCATGCTCCGGACAGCACAAGTCAGCACCAGCCAAAATGGGCATTTTCTCAAGTTCATAGCCGCTGGTGGCAGTTTGGAGGCAATGACCACTACATCCTCATGCCAGGAACACTGAGCTTCCAAGGGAATGTCCAGCTCTTAAATTTTGATCCCATTTTCCTGGAAAGCCAAGGGGGACCTTCACGCCTCACGGTCCAGGCAGGCAGGGAAGGGAAGCATGGTGCGCGGGCTCAATGAGCCCTCCGCCTGTCCGAGTCCGACTCACCTGCAACACCGCTGACTCGCGGAGGCACCCGAAAGGCCGCGCAGGATGTGGGGGGACCCGCCTCTCGGCCCGGGGTGTTTCGGCAGATGTGCGAGTGAGCTCCCGGGCGGCGGACCGTAGTGACAACCGGCCGGCCGGCGGCGGGTAAACTGCGCGGCTACAGGTAGGAGCCGCGCGCAGCGCTCCTCCCCGCTACGCCACGCCCCCCAGGCCGCCGGGCCAACCAGACAGGCTGGTGGCCTTGTGGCGCTGGCCAGTTTGCCTCGTGCTGGAGCAGAAAGCTCGAGGGGGCGCTGAGGGATCACGCAGAGCAAGGCTTCAGAACAAATTTTCTTGACACAGTGGCAACTTTGGGGAGCGGCCACAGGACTTTTACCGGTCCACATTCAGTTGCTCCTCAAATCCATTAGGTTGGATCTCTTTGTCCCCTGGCTAGGCGACCTCACTGGTGACAAATAGGCCCCCGCGCAAACCCATTAAATAACTAGAATCCACGCCCAAACTGTTCTAACATATTAGCCGCTCCCTATCCTCCACAGTCTTGATTTTACATCTTTTGGACAGGGACACAAGTTACACCACTTATTTCTCCTAACGGGGGTCGCGCAGTTCAAATAAACTTTTAGCAGTTCTCTACTCCCAAAAAATATCCTTAACTTGTGTGTGTGTGTGTGTGTGTGTGTGTGTGTGTGTGTGTGGCGGGGGGGTGGGGAGGTAAAGTCACTTACTTATTCCTTCCAGTAAGATTCCTAGAGGAGATTTGGCGGCAACCGGGCCGTTGACTTCGGCAACAGCTTGGACGCCATGATTAGCAAGATTTCGGGGGCCTTGATCGCTGGCAGTTTGGGTGCCAGGATCATCGGCAGTTTCAGTTCCACAGTCTACAACAATTTGAGGTTCTTGGAAACTCATTACTTCTGATGTTGAAGTTATTGGTGTTGAATCTCCTTCTGATAGATCGAGGTGCCGTCCCTCAGGGTACAACACGATCCATCTTGTTGAGGTTGTAAAATGGCTACCGGTTCAGTCACGTGACCGGGTGTAAAGGACTTTAATAAAATTACGTCAACAGTATTCTCCTTAAAGACATAGGAATAATATTAGCCATTATGGGTGCCTGTAAAAGATTAGCCTCGAAGTCTCTACTGCTTAATATTTAAGTAAGCTTAATCGTAAGTAATATTTTTGGGACACTAATTATTGTACAATCATTTCTTCTGGATAAGTGATTGTTTTTCATTCTGTGAAGCTAAACTACCAGAGCTTCAGATGTAAAGAAAATCTTTCGGTCCCTTTGAGAATGTGTCCACTGGTCTTCAGCATTATGCTTTGAGACTACATCAAGGGTTGTAATACGAATAGATCAATGAACTTTGGTTTTCGTTTACTGTATTATATTCTTGAAGGCATTTATTACATCAAAAATAATTCTTTAATAATAACTGAAAACAAATTCCATTTTCAGTAACTCAAATAACTGAGTAATTGTGTATTTTTAATCATATGGACAATGTGAATTATGAAATTAAATTTCCTTGTGATGGCTGCTAGGACACCCAGAACCCATTTTGCAACCCACCTCTCACAACTGTGAACCTTATTGGTATATGTTGTTATTTCTGCTGTCTTAAATAACCAGTCTTTCCCAGTTCGTAAATATTTTTTATCTTGTGTGATAAGTAACACTGAAAGCTGCTTCAAAACATTTTAAAAAGAGAATCAGAAATAAATATTAGATAAATAAAAATAGTGTTCTTACAGAAGTATCACAGGGAGCATAGTGAGCGGAGCATATAAATTCAGTCATCTGACCAATGTTAATTGAGAAGCTAATGTGCCAGGCTTGGGTTGAAATATTTATTAAATGATTAAAATGTGGTAAGAGTTTCATGGAAGGAAGCAAAAAGTAACATGCAGGCATACACATATGTAATTTTCCCTTTATTGCTAGATTTCCAGCCCCTTCTTAAGGAAGAAGGGACTGGAAAGTGAAAAAAAAAGGGCATGAATTATGATTTCTCTTGGTAGGGGAAAGCTGATCTCAGAAATAGCATTCACATACAAATAAAAACCTGTCCTATACATACTTTCATGTTGTCAAATGCATACAGAACATATTTCTATGTTCTGTTCTGTCATGTTGCAGTCCTTCCCATAAGTTCTTCTGGACCCATCTCCTCCAAAGCCCTCCTCCGCCATCCCTAACTAAGGCTTCAATCCGTTTCATCATTATAGCAAATATGCAGTTGCATGTATTCCTCCAATGGAAATTTATTGAGTTATGTGCCAGGGCCTGTTCTAAGGTTAATAATAGCTAAAATTCATTGAGCGCTTATTAGGTGCTAAGCTCTTTGCTAAGTGTTTTATATGCATTATCTCACTTAACCCTCACAATTGCTCTGTGAGTTTGCTGTGACTATGATCCTGTTTTGTGTTTTTCTCAGATGAGTAAAATGAGATTTTAAAAAGTTAATTAACTAGACCCAT